CGGGCTGCGCTGCCGCTGGGGAAGCGACACGGGCCCGTGCCGAGCGCTCTGCCCGGCGGATTTCCTCGTGCGGGATGGTGCTCAGCGAAACGAAACCTGCCCCAGCTTGGGCAGCTAGGCAGGGGCTGTGGTGTCGCCTAACGTTGCTCTAAGCTGTCTCTATGTGACACCCATTCTCTAATAATACCCATTCAATTAGCACAAACAGTCTCTTTGGGATCTTAACCACAGCTTGGGTCTCCCTCGGGGTGAAAGCTGTCAGTTTCATGCAGCAATGTGCTGCTGTTGCATCAAGTGAGCATTATTGTTTGTTGTGTTCTCTGTGAAGGAAGAAAATTATGACAAACTTCTGAGGAAGCAGTGGAAATACGCAGCACAATGCTACAGTGAGATGAGCTGGTGAAGTTAGTAGGATAAGAGCAATGTGTGCCAGCAAAATTCCATTATATTTCCTCTGTAGTTTGGGAACCCCGAAGTGCACTTTAGTAAGGCCTACTTAGTGGAAAAAACAGCCTTCAATAACAGCAACAATCCAGTTGTCACTGCTTGAGTTTCAGATACAACCACTATGCTGTAATATCATAGCAGCTTCAGCAAGTGTTTCTGGTTTGGCATTTGGTATGTGTAAATCTTTTGTGGCACCTATAATAACATAGGATTGAAGAGAAGAGGCTTTTAGTGAACTCTGATATGCAAAGTATGCAAAAAGCCTAGTCAGCTTGATGTGTGCCAGTCTGTTGCTTGCTCTTGACATTGGATCATACAATAGTAGAATTATTTAGCTTGGAAAGGCCCTCTGGAGGTCATCTGATTCAACTCCCTGCTTAAAGCAGTGGTGTCATCAAACTTAGAGTAGGTTGGTCCAGGCCTCATGTGATTGGACTTTCTCTTGAAGGATTTAAAATGAGTTGAAAGTTGGATCTGAAATGTAGCTGAATTTGGAACAAAGTGCCCCAAACTTTGGAAAGTTACAGAGTTCTAAGCAGTCTGAATGAAACATACTCTTCCTTAGTTAAGTGGAAGTTGTGTTTCCTTCCTGGTTTTGGTGTTATGATTCTGGTTCTCCAATTGTGCAACAGTCTTCAATGTGCACAATACGGAGATTTTTGGAAGATAAAAAACAAGCAGGAGATTATTTTGTCCCACAGCACACAAATTTTCTCCTAGTGGATACGAAACTGAAATGCTTTGAAAGTGACATTTCTCTGTATAGAACCAAAAATACTGCTAAATCACTTCAAATTTGAAAGGTTCTTAGTCTTACCTACATAATTTATTTAAATTTATTTAAAGGCTAAGGTGGTGATTCCTGCATTCACAGACATGCAGTGAAATCAGCTTTATTTCTGTGTCCTTAGCAGCATGAAGTTCTTCCTGTGCAAAACTCAGCTCTTGTGCATTACTTGCCATCCACTAAATGAATTGAATGTAACGCAGTGAGTTGAGGTTGATGGAGTGAAGATAGCTGATGTCAGCCTTTATCTGTCTTAATCTGTTCTTGTCATGTCACAATGTATTGTGTGAAGTCAAGTCTTTGAAGCAATTGCAGTATTATTTGCACTGCTCAGTGTCTGCAGGTCCTGGGTAAAATGCGTTTTGTAGAAGAGTCTTGAATACAGTGAAAAGTTCCTGGAGAAGTTTATCCTTTAAGTAGGAAAGAAAGATAAAGATTGAGGGGAAAAAAAAATATGGATGGAAATAGCTGTGCCATTGTACCTTCATGATGTGTCTTCTAAGTGTCATCTGTGTTTTTCTTAAGTACTCAAGTTAGAAATATACTGACATATTTCAAGGTGGAAAAGTATAGAAATTGTTAAATTAGGTGTAGAATTGAAATTTTGATCTGCTAATGTAAATAATTCACTTCAGCAAGCACTGATGGCCTGGCTGAAGCTGTAGATAAAAGCATAACCTCTGCAGATACAGTTCTCGGTGTCCTAAGGACTGTGGAGAAGGTAAGACTAGAGGATAAAATAAGATGAAAGGATGTTCAGCAGCTCAGCTCTTCTTTTGTGTGCAGACTGTAGTCACAGCATCTCTTACAAGACTTGGCAAAATTTCCACCATCCTGTTTCAGCTTGTTTTGTCCAGGCAGTAGGTAGTCCACCTACACTGGGGAATGGCAAACTGCACTTCTGTGTCATTTGGTTCAGTATAAATAGCATCAGTCTGACAGCAGGTTTGCATCAGTATCACTATAGCACATATTAAGTATCCTGTTAACACCCAAAGTTAAATTTCCAAATGTGTTTCTTGTACGTAGTCTTTCAAATGTGATGTTAAGATTTTGTATGCAAAGTTCACATTATTATGGTTGACCTCAGAGACACCTTTTCAGCCAAAGTTGTAATCCATATCAAAAGTATCTATGTGGCATATTTGTGGAGTGTAATGTCAAGATGTCCCACGTAAAAAATGAGGGAGGTATTATGGGATGAAAAATATCTTTGCCTTTCTTATTATAGTTATATGAAATGAACAAAGAAACTTTAGAGGCAGCTTCTCTCTTCGTGCCTCACAGGAAAAATGAACCTTTAATCATGTTTTGTATCAGCTAGAGCAATCCTCGTGGTTGCCTTATGATCCTATATTGATCCCACTGTGGCATCTGTAGAATCTGCACCTGTTCATGGCTTCTAGACAGTGGATCTGCAAATTGCTATAGCCTCTGCTGCCAATTTTGTCTAACGCTGGCTTTTTTTGCAGACCCCAGTGTGATCCCCCTCTTTGGCTACAGGAATAAGGAATATTCTGATAGAGCATCTCACTAAACCATCAGGGCTTCCCATGGGCTCTCAGATTCAAGTCCTCATAACCTTTGAGTGCACCTCTACATTCACTTCATGTATGTTCAGACATTTTTCTGTGAAGCTGATTATGAAACACACAGTAGTGATTTTTGTGCATCTGTTCTTAAGTCAGTTTATTCATGGTTTATGGCAGCTTTTCATGGGATTCTATAATATTCTTTGCAGTTCATTCTAGCTTTTGAGAGATTGGTGAGTAGGGACCTTTTAAGTTTCTGATTTATTAACTCGGTTGGTATTATTTAATACTCTACATATTTAATTCCACTCTTTGATTTCAGAATCTCTCAAGACCTCCAGGAAAACAACTCCACAAAAAGAGGCATCTTCAAAACAAAGATGATTATTGGGAAAGCTTACAGTACCGTTAACGTCAGCAATGGAACAGATCTAGCTATTGGCTTTACCTCTTCCACAGTAGCTGTCCTTCTGTTTGGGACAAACTTTGTCCCTGTTAAGAAGTTTGATACTGGTGATGGTAAATATTCTTTTGTTTGGTTTGGTATTTTTGCTAATAGGAGTAATATTTTACTAGCAAATATGAGTTTCTATGCTAGAACTGTAAATATCATCACAGCCTTAATCCAGAGTATGTTTAATTTTCTTTGCTGTCGTTAGGGTGTAAGGCAATAATGCTACTTGACTATGTGGCAGATCTTTAGAAGAGCCTTCTTATATGTTGTTGTGCACTTGAACAGTGATGATGTACATTTCATGAGCATTTCACAATGGAAAGTGAAATGTCCTTTCTTCTACCTTTGTGGGAATTCTTGGATACATTCAGTGATATTTATAAAGTAAAAGTTATTGGACTTTGTAGTATTGCCTTTCAATTGTGGGCATAATGTAAAAACAAGGAAAAAAATGAAATTTTAATACTTTTATTTGGTGAGCTGGAAAGAGAAAACAATTTTTTCTATTTCCTACATGGAATTTTATCACTTTACTAGTTTTATGTTATATTTCCAAGTTTATATGAAGCATAATCAGTTACCAGATCCCTAGATGAGTAAATCTGCCATTATGTTATTGCAATAATAGTCTGCATTGCAGGATGGATATAACCCCTCCTCTTTGTGCCAAATATGGCACTAACAGGACGAGGCTAAGCTTTAAACTGAAAATCTTAGCACAGCTGGCATAAAGTTAACTGGTTTGCCTAACTGACTATTCAAGAATCTACAAAAGTAGGAGAGATCTGTTACTGACAATCCTCAGTTTCCTGGGTTACTGGAAAAGCCTGAGCCATGAGCTTTGAAGAAGTTTTGTCTGTGTTAGCATCAACTACAGTGGTGGGAGGAGTTTGTAGTAACTGAATATCCTCATTGTCAAAAGTCTGTCAAAATTTTCATGTGTTGGAGAATCAGGGCTTGTGTAAACTTTGTCCAGTAAAGTGTCTTTTGCAGCTAGGTATGAAGAATGCATGGTAAGGAAAAATTTGGCAGAATTATAACCCACCCTAAAACCACATCTTTTGAATATATTGTAACATGGTCCCCTGAAATTCACAAAGGAGGTGGCCACCTTTTTGAATTTTTTCTGTACTGCTTTATCTAAGACAAACTTACTGTGTTAAGAGGTTCCCACATGCAGTATTCTACAGGTTCTCTATTGTGTGCATTTGATTTTTCCATAGGCATGTTCTTCCAATGGATTCTCTGTGCCTCTATATGGATAGTTTCTTTGGTGGTCAATTTGATCCAGAATTGCCCTCGGTTTTGGCCTCTGGCTATGGTTGGAGGTTTTGTGTGGGCTACAGGTGAGGATAAAGATTCCATGTCTTGAAACACAAGATAATCCTCAGTCTTCATAAAAAAAGTGATAAAAAATTTCCATCTATAAGGTAGTAGTTATTTAGTAGTTATTTGGTATTTTAAAGTCTTGGTATTAATGGAGCTGTACCCTTATAGTAAATATTGCTTTATTATGCTTGTTTTATAAGAGGCAAATTCACACCAAAAATAACTTTTAAAATTTTATGTGGGAAAAGTCCATGTTCATTGTTATTTATTTTTTAAAAGCACTGTTTCTTACCACCTTGTAGTTTCCCAAATTTCTTTGCCTTCTTAACAGGCGCAGATTCTAAAGCAAGTATATACATTCTATTTTTTACTGATTTCAGTTTTGGTTTTTGTATTTCAGGCAATGTTACAGTTGTCCCTATTGTTAAAACTATTGGCTTAGCTCTTGGTCTTTTGATATGGGCTTCTTTTAATTTGCTGACAGGTTGGGCAAGTTCAAGGTAGGTAAGTTATATATAGTTAATGTTGTCAATTCTTCATTAATAAATGCAGCGAAAGCTATCACTTGTAAAATCAGAATCATATAGGTTGGGAAAGACCTTTAAGATCGAGTCCAGCCATTAACCTGCCACTGCCAAGTCCACCACTAAAGAGAATTTATCACATATATTAAGACTTCTTCCCTCTTAGTAAAAAGTACCCAGGTTAATTATATTAGCTTATGTTTCCTCTGTCTCAATAGGATGAAGAATGCCCAGTGATGTTCATTAACATAACTGAGTCAATAATGTATTTGTTAATGTAAAACTAGTGAACTGTTTGTATTTTTTTCTTCTGCAATGTGATCTGATAAAGTAATTTAAATTAACTTCAATTTTTGAATACACAGATTAAAAATTATCAATGCACATTAAATTAGTTTAAAGATTATTTTTGTAAAGTAGACATAACTTTTTGCAAGCCAGCTGAAGCACTGATCTACTGCTGCAAATATATACTTAAACAGAATTATTTGCATGAGTCAAGATTTCGAAGACTAGGTTATAATTTAACTGTTTGTATAAGTCAGTGCAACTAAGTGATACTGGTTAAATGTTTCAGGTTTGGTTGGTTTGGAATTGACCCAGAAGAGGTATCAAGACCAATCTTAAATTATATTGGAGCTGGACTTTCACTATTAAGGTAAAAATTTATTCTTATAATGAATTTCTGTAATGTAGAATACCTATTTCATAACCAACCACAAGGACAATTTAACTAGAGGGTGAATGTATTGAAGTATTTTTTACAAATCAATTTACTGCCAAATTCATGAGCTGTCCATACCTAGCTGGTCAGTGTTGTATTTCAGAGTAGTAACATACATGATATCCAGTGCAGTGGTGAAATGGTTATCCATAAACACAGAAATACATTTTTATGCTGGTAGGCATGTTCACAGCAAAGCAGTGATGCACTGCTTGCCTCCCCAGTTAGGTTATTCAAATAGTTCATTTTCCCCAAATATGATGAGAGGAGGGGAAACTGATCAGAAGATACTTGTTGAGAAAACCTCAGATATCTGATCTCACTTCATTCACTCAGGGGTACAAATCTTAATCTCTTAACTTTAGAATATGCCACAGAACCCCTTCCCTGGTATTTTGGAGTCCATGAGAACCCAGGGACTTCATATATTTTCCAGTCTGTAATACCTCCTTGTCTTGTAATTCTTAAACCACATTTAAAATTCCCAAACAGTGTCTTCCTTTGGGATCTTCAGAAGGATTTCATTCTTTTTGGATTTTTGCTTATTATTTGTATAAGTGCATGCATTCTGGTCCAAACACAGAGGAAAGAGAATCTTTGTTATGCAGCAGTGCTTTTGCTTTCCAGCTGGGTGGCCAGAAAGATAGATCCTGGGGGGTTGCCATAAGTGTGCTAAGCAGCACATGGACATAATGCCTTTCAGAAAAGAAGGGTATTAAGAACATGGAGATAATGAAACCACTTTTGATTGCTAGGAGAAAGCTGCTGCCTTAGGTTCATGATTTTTGCTTCCACTTTTCCTCTTTTCCTGAGAGTCTGCAGCTTTATACCCATTACCTTTACATGTGACATATGATTTTGGGAGGTGCTGAGAAAATGGTAGCAGTACTGCTATACCTGCCTGATGAATTCATGCAGATCACCACCTGCTTCCTGCCTGTTTCTGAGATATCATGGAGAAGTGATCAACAGGGAAAAAGATCATGACCAAACATGTTGCCCTGTAAAACTGCACAAGGCCTCTGTATGTTGCTCTGTGGAGCTCAGAAGCTTGCATTTCATTTTAGCTTCCTGTGTGGAACCTTTATATATTTGTCAAGTCCCTGTGGAGGAAGCTGACCTCCTTTTATACTGGTACTTAACTCCTTCAATAAGAGATGAATCGTTCTTCAAATGGACTCATTCTGCTTACAGTTATGAGAAGAAATTCCTAAATCATTAAAATGTCTTTCATAAAAATAAAAACCAGATCCTTCCAGTTCTGATTAAGTGTGTTTACCTGATTTTCTGAAGCCAGGGGTACAAGTAGGAACATTTCCATTTCTTCACTTTATTCACTTAGTGTGCTGGAGCACCACTGAGCAACACCCCTTCTCCTTCTGCATATGCACAAGGCCCTGTAGCAGCATGTCCTGGTCCAGTTAGACTCGGGAGTGTTCGATCGATTCCTCCAGTGTGAATTAAGACACAGACGAGGTCAAAATACCCTTAGGGAGTGAGGCATTATTATTGGTCACACAAGGGGGAGAGAAGGGGCGATAGGAAAGTTAGAAATCGAAGATGAGGATAGTTGGAAGCAAGCAAGATTTGGTATGCCAAAGCAGAGAGAGTCACCACCATGGATCCAGATGATCCGTAGTCATGTAGAAGAGGGATAGTCACCACCATAGGTCCAGCAGCTTTCTGATGATCCATAGCTGTCTTTTCTTGAGTGGTGGGTGTGCACCCTCACTCTGGATGCTGGTGCTTTTTGTATGGCTCTGTTGGGCACTGACTGGTCAGTTTCCCTGGACTTGAGCAATTCCCAGCCTCGAGATCTCTGCGGCTGGAAGTGATGTCAGTTGTGGACAGTGATGTCCTGTGGTCTCTGTGGTCAGTTTACCAGGAGTTGAGCTATTCCCAGTCTCTTGATCCCGAAGCTGGAAGTGATGTCAATCCTTTCCTGGCAGATGGCTCGGCAGCCAGAGGGTGTAGTTGGTGGACAATTGTGCCTGGTTATCGGTCATTATCTGTTAGGTGGAAGATCTGGGTGGTGGACAATGGTGCTTCCTTATCTCAGCAGCTAGAGGAATTCATGTCAGCTAGAGGAATTCATGTCAAAACAAACATTTCTTAAAGGTCCCTTACACAGCAGTATTCCATCTTCAGATATGACAGAACACTAAAAACTAGCATTTTTCCATGAGCACGGAGCCATTTCTGTGCAGGTTTAAGCTGTTCCATGTAGAATTTTCATGCAGGTGTTCCACCATATGCATGGTTTGGTACAAAAGGGCACTGTTAACTGAAGCATCTGTTGTTAACATGTGGTTGTAACTACATGCTGTAAAAAGGAGACATCTGAAGCCCATTACAGTAGAAATCTATAAAGTGATACAAGACTGATTTACTTACTTTCACTTAGGTTGTTTGTTAGTTAAATTAATAACTTATTATATGTTCATATATTTTATTATATATGTATAAACAATTATATATAATATAATTAGTAAGATAAGACTA